TCATTAAGCCAATAAAAATACACTATTTAACTACGGATTCTGCAAATTCTGCAAATTTAGTTGAATTCGGCAAATGCTCCGCAAATTTTGCGATTGCGACACCCTAATCGGAGTACCTGTGTTACTAATCAATTTTATAGTACTCCGATAGTGAAGTGGGGCATTAGGTACGTACGTACGTACGTACGTACTTGACAAATATTATTTAATATCGATATGTTAATTTAAATAATTAAACTGCGATATTTTATTGTACAGAAAACGATGATGTAGTGTAGCCAATGAAAGACAAGGGAGGCAACTCTGATCAAGTGCATAATTTGGACGTTTCGAGATATCACTAACCCACAAACCTATATATCTTTATTAATATCCTTCACGTATCTCTTTTCGTAAATTTATCTTGCCCATGAATTTCAGGAAAGAATCGGCGAATTTCATAGTAACTAGGGTACGAGAGCTTGGTAAAAGGAATTCCCCTGATTTTGTTCATGTTAACTGCATTCTTCCACATTCTGACACAGTCTCGCCAATTTTTAATCTTGGCGTTATTCGTTATTATTTACTTTTTGGGTTAGTGGTCCTAGTCCAAATCTACGTCAGGGATCACAAGTTTTACGTGACTGCTTCTAGGTCACAGCAATCATAAATAATGAATTTCAGAATATTTACTATATAACGACAAATTCATTCTCTTAAAACTAAATCGAATTCTGTGCCGCAATCCGGAAATTTGGTTTTGCCTGAAACTTCTATTCATCTTATGCTCTATTCTTTTTTTAAGAAAGAAAACCTTAAAAGTGTATATTTAAATTGATTTTTGAGATGTTTAGGGCAATCAAAAATCAAAAACAGTAAAATAAAAGTAATAACGTTAAAATTGTTAAAAATTGTTAACGTTAAAAGTTAAAATAATTAAAAGTGATATTAGAAATAGTCAAAAGTGACATTGAGAAATCAAAAATATTACTGTATCGGCACTTAAAAAGTGTTGCCAAATAAACTTATCAACAATTTAAATCAAAGAATTAAAGAATTTCATCATATGGGCGAAAATCTCCATTTTCGTGATGATTTAGTGTGAGTGATTTAATGAATTGCTTATGAATCGCTTATGAATTTTACCCATAAATTTGTACCTGATTGTAACCTGATGCTTATAAATTTTTGTACGTATTTAAAATTTTTTGTACATATGTGCATGATTGTAACCTGATTGCTTACAAATTTTTTGTACGTATGTATGTACGTACGTACCTGATTGTAACCTATTTACTTATAATTTTTGTTATATGTACGTACGTACGTACGTACCTGATTGTAACCTAATTACTTATAATTTTTGTTATATGTACGTGTTTCAACTGGAGATTTTCGCCATTGATTAACTCTGGACTTTCAATTTCGGCTTAATAATTTACCGAAATATATTAGTAAGGAAATGTTCCTAATGAGAAAAGTCTTAGCCTTACACATGCTCAATATTTGTAACAACTGGAGATTTGCTTACAGTCCTAAGTTATATTATTTCCCGGTACTGGGGTATGATCTGCATAGAAAACATTTTCTTTATCTGCTATTGACTTTTTTTTTTTTTTACTTCTATTCACTTTAATCCGGAATTGTTAAAAATTTACCAAATTAAATAAACCACGTTTTTCAATGAAGAATAATGACGTATGTGTATTCTATCTCAATGATGTATTCATTATATCGTCATACAAAATCTGCGCAGTAATTAATGTTAGTCTTTTTGAAGGAATCTATTTTATTGTTAATAATTTATCATGGTTATTTATCATTGTTTTTTTTGTAAATTCTATGAATTCTATAAATTCTATTAACCATCTAACCAACTAAATGGAATTACAATCAACCGATTAATTTGTTCGTGTGGGATAATATATCTCCTTTTAGAAATAGCCAAGCACAAATTAATACGTACACTTTGTTAAATATGTGCATCACATAACACAATGTTAAAGTTGTGAAAACCGCATACGTCGTATTTACATTAATATATTGTACGCAAAAACAGAGTTCCGTATTGCATTGTCAATTTTATATAAAGCCGCGTATATTCGCCTAAATGTTATTCCTTCTTAGCTTAAAAAAAAAAAAAAAGGAAAAAAAAGAAAAATATATATATTTTATATGCACCGGCCTTCGATCCATATAACGATTTACTTAGTTGCCTAAGACAAAAAAAGTACTCAATTTCAATGCCAATTGAGTATTGAAGTAGGACCAAAAATAAAAAAATAAAAAAATTCATTGTAAAGAAATTTTGAGTTCATAGTTCAACACAAATATGGCAGAAACTGTAACGAATTCGAACTCGGTTGACAATACTACTGTATCGGCAACTCAAAGTTCTGAACAATCTAATGAGTCAACTCAAATACAACTTGATGAAACTTTTGGCATAACACTTAATTCCGAACATGAAAAAATATTAAATGACCAAATCCTTCCTGGAAAAACGAAAGCATCTTATAGTCAATTATATCGGTTTGCTACGAAACGCGATTGGTTGATTATGATTATTGGTCTGGTATTTGCTGGCTCTGCCGGTGCAACTATGGTATTCTTTTTTTTCTTAATTCTTTTTCATAGCTTGATTTTTGTTAATTGAATTTTAAATACATGTGTATGTATGTATATACTTTGATTTCTTTTTTTAGCCTTTAATGACGATCCTTTTTGGAAGGATGATCGATTACTTTACTCTCTTTTTAACTCATCAAATATCAGGAGAAGAATTTTCCACTGAAATTAATCTTTATTCCTTATATTTCATATACCTCGCCATTCTTACCTTTGTTGCCACTTATATATATATGGCAACTTGGGTATACACTGGAGAAAGGTAGTTTGTTATTTTACCATTATCGTCTTATAATTTCGTAGTTGTTACAGTTATTACATATTTTATAATTAATAAAATTTTGATTTATAGGCAGGCTCGGAGCATTCGGGAAAATTATCTCCGTGCCGTTCTCCGCCAAAATATTGCCTATTTTGATGGTATTGGTCCCGGTGAAATTACTACTCGCATTTCTTCTGACACTCATTTGATTCAAGATGGTATAAGTGAAAAGGCCTCGGTTGCTTTCCAGGTATTATTTTGTTTATCAAAAATTTTTGATGTACGTTCGTGTGCATGTGTATATTACACATACCTACTTATTCTTATCCCGTTCATCATCACGTGATTCCGTATAGTATATCGCCCAATTTATTTCTGCCTTTATAATCGCGTTCACTACGAATTGGAAAATGACTTTGGTGATTTGTTGCGTAATTCCTATAATCGCAATAAGCAGCATAACAATTAACAAATTTAATACCCTTTTTACGAAACGAAGTTCCGATTTCTATTCATTAGCTGGATCTATTGCCGAAGAATCAATTTCTGCTATTAGAACTACCGTATCATTTGGTGCTCAAAAAAAACTATCTGCTCTTTACGATGCTTATTTAGTACATGCAAAGCGTGAAGGAATTAAAAAATCAATCACAAATAGTTCTGGTGTTGGTACTCTTTTTTTTTTTCGTTTACTGTACTTACGCTTTAGGCTTTTGGTATGGTTCAACTTTACTTATTTCTCATGAAGTGTCTCCTGGCCAGGTATTTTATCTACATAGTTTTTTTTTTTTTTTTAATCCATTAAGTTAAAATATTACAATGTGTTTATTCTTGTATCGATATATCTGATTTATTTTTTTTAAAAGGTTGTAAATGTTTTCTTTGCCGTAATTATTGGTGCATTTTCTCTTGCACATCTCGCTCCAGATATACAAGCTTTTGGACTTGCTGTCGGTGCTGGTGCAAAGATTTTTGAAACAATTAATCGTATTCCGCCGATAGATTCTTATTCTCAAGATGGTGAACAACCTTCTAGTTGTGAAGGTCGAATTCAATTTAAAAATGTTTCATTTGTTTATCCTTCTAGACCTAAGGTTCAAACTTTAAATGATGTATCGTTGGATATTGAACCTGGTACTACAGTCGCTCTTATTGGTACTTCTGGATCTGGAAAAAGTGCGTATTTCATTAACAAATTTACATATATATTGTGTATATTTTTTTTTATTGTCAACCGGTGCCGATCAATGATCGTATTTCTGCGATATCTGTGGGCTGTACCCTGCGGCAATTTTGGATGCCAAATCTTGATTTATACCCGGGTATATAAGAATGAGGATATCATACTTATATACCCGGGCATTTAATAGTAAACCATATTAAATACATAAAAGTAGAGGCCGGATCCATGAATATTCACGGTCAGAAACGGATATTCATTGAATATCCGATATTTTGTGTTACACAAATTCAGAATAGTCGAGGGTAATCAATATAATTGATCCGTGTATATTCGTGAATATTCGCGTGTATATTCGCGAATATTCGTGAATATTCGCGTGAATATTCGCAGTTACAAATAATAGCATGGGTATCCATCCAAAATCCGGATATTCGTCCAATGCTATTCACGAACATCCAAAACCCGCAAATATTTACTGAATGCCATGATGGATATTCAAAGGATCCGACCTCTACATAGAAGTGTATCCCCCCACATGAGTACCCGGGTACATAATATGAGCTAGGGGAATACCCCGGGTACACATGTCGCAGAAATACGGTAATGCTGGTCAAGGTGACAAATATTTGAGGTGCCTCAGTTGTCACTCGAGACACAACATGTACATTTAAAGTATGTCGTATTCCAAATTGTTATATAACCTTATCGGCTGATTTGGATAATGAAATCCAATCTCCTCAGGTTTAGAGTCATTGCGGAGATTGGATTTCTTCAAAATCTTATACAGGGGATCCCGAAATTCCGAGTCGGAAGGCATCGGAGCTAGCCGGCATTTAGCAATACGGATTAGTACAGTTTATAGCAAAATTATCCACTAGGCATTTCTTAATGAGCGACTCATATCGACGACCCAAAATTAGCCAATCATGATTGAGAATTATTTGTCATTAAATTTTATTACAGAATAAGTTTTTGCAAAAACGGTTTTTTAAACTTACTTTGAATCCATAATTAAGTGTATAGAATATTGTAATATCTACATGTTTAATTATTAGCTGAAAGTAAGTTAAAAAGGCCGTTTTCCTCAAAAATTGCTTTCGAATTCACCTTTACCCACTATACAACCGATCAATGACAAACCAATCGTTCACTACCAAAAAATACCCGAACGCTTCAACAACTAGTGATAGTGCGCTTAGAATAGCTGTTTTTTTTTAGTATTTATTGCTTATTCATCTCATATAGAGGCTAAAAAGCATTTTTAATGAACGTTTCGTTTGTTACTCTTAATGGCAAAAGTTCGTGTAACAGTTTATCCCTAAAAATCGATCGTGGATATGTCATTCTTGAAATTGATCAATTCCAGCCCAGCCGATCAGGATTTCGATGCCTTCCGACCCGGAATGTTGAGGCCCTCTGTATGAGTTTTATCAACCTATACATATCGATATAAATATACACATCTATCTGATATACATATACATATATGATATATATATTATACATAGTATATATATACTTACATATACATTATTTTTTTTAGGTACAATCATATCTTTATCTCTCCGATTTTATGACCCAATTTCTGGTGAAATACTTCTTGATGGTCGCAATATCAAATCTCTTAACCTCACATGGCTTCGTAAACAAATGAGTCTTGTAGGACAAGAACCTGTACTTTTCAATACTACCATTGGTTGGTATTTTTTTATTAATAATATTTTTAAAAATTTTTTAATACATATATATTTGAATTTTTTTAACATAATTTATTATCATTATTATTATTATTATTATTATTTAGCTGAAAATGTTGCTCATGGATTAATTGGTTCAATTTATGAAAATATTTCTCAAGACAAAAAACGTATAATGATTGAACATGCATGTCAAATGTCAAATGCTCACGGATTTATTATGAAACTTCCTGATAAATATGAATCTATGGTTGGTGAAGGTGGTGTCTTATTATCTGGTGGTCAAAAGCAACGTATCGCTATTGCTCGTGCTATTGTAAAAGATCCAAAAATATTATTATTGGATGAGGCTACTAGTGCTCTTGATTCTCGAAGTGAAGGTATTGTTCAAGATGCGTTAGATAAAGCCTCTAAAAATAGAACAGTAAGAATTGTTTATCATTTGTCGAAATTTTTTTTTTCTATTTCATCTATTTATCAGAATATTTAAATTTTTTAAATTATTATTATTACTATTATTATTATGATTATTATTATTTAGACTATTGTTGTCGCCCATCGTTTATCTACTATTCGTAATGCTACAAAGATTATAGTAATGAGTGAAGGTGCCATTTTAGAAAGCGGTAATCATGATGAACTAATGGCTAAAAAAGGTGTCTACAGTAAACTTGTCGAAGCTCAAAAACTTAAACAAGCAGAGGAAAATGATGAAGTTTTAGATAAATCTATTATTCCTCCAGAAGATACTGATCCTTTAATAACTTCAAATCAAGCGGATATTGTCCCAGAAGAAGATCATCAACTTGGACGTGTCACTACAAATAAATCTGTGTCATCTGCTGTTTTGGCTGCCAGAAACGAAGACCTTGAAGCTAATACAAAACATGATTATGAGTATACAACATGTGAATTAATCAAAAAAGTTGGAAAAATAAATCGTCCCGAATTACCATTTATTTTCATTGGTTTACTTGCTTCAATTGTTAATGGTAGCATATATCCAGTATTTGCCATAATCTTTTCAAATATTATTCAATCCTTTTCAAGCCCTCCTGATGAATTAAAAAGAGATGCCTCATTTTGGGCACTCATGTTCGTAGTTATAGCTGTAGCTACATCAGTTGCTAGTATTATTCAAGGTGCAACTTTTGGTTATTCTAGTGAATCTCTTACTCGTAAAATTCGTTCAATATCATTCGATTCAATGTTGAGACAAGATATTTCATTCTTTGATGAAGACAAACATACTACTGGTTCTTTAACTGGTATTTTAGCATTAGATGCTACTTATGTTAATGGTTTGGCTGGTCTTACTTTAGGTACTTTATTACAAGTCTTAACTACAGTAATTGGTGGAATAGTTGTATCTCTTGTAGTTGGATGGAAGCTTGCTTTAGTTTGCATGTGCTGTATACCTATAATGCTCGGATCTGGTGCTTTACGTATAAGGATGTTGAGTGGATTTCAACAAAAATCCAAAAAAGCTTATGAAACTTCTGCCAATGTTGCTTGTGAAAGCTCGGGAAATATTAGAACTGTTGCTGCTCTTACTCGTGAAGAAGATGTATTAAAGATTTATCATAATATGCTTGATGAACCAATGCGTGAAGGATTTAAGAATGCGTTTTTAGCTTCAGTCGCATTCGCTTTTGCACAATGTGTTACCTTTTTAACAAATGCTTTGGCATTTTGGTATGGTGGTAGATTAGTTATGGAGGGTGAATATGATCTTAAAAGAATGTTTACTGTATTTATGGCTGTTATATTTGGTTCAATGTCTGCTGGTCGTGCATTTGCTTATGCACCTGATATGGCCAAAGCTAAAGTCGCTGCTGCATCTATAATGTCAATAGTGGAACGTGTTCCCACAATTGATGCTTGGTCTACTGTTGGTAAAAAAATTGATAAAGTTGAAGGACATCTTAAATTCACAAAGGTACATTTTCGGTATCCAACTCGACCTCATGTTCCAGTACTTCGTGGTCTAGATATTGAAATAAAACCTGGTCAATATGCTGCATTAGTTGGTCCTTCAGGATGTGGTAAAAGTACTACTATTAGTTTAACTGAACGATTTTATGATATAACTGATGGAAAAATAGAAATTGATGGAATAAACATTACTACTCTAAATGTTAGTAGTCTTCGGGAACATATCGCGTTGGTTAGTCAAGAACCATCTTTATATGATATGACAATTAAAGAGAATGTGATTTTTGGGTGTCGACCAGGACAAGAACCAACTCAAGAAGAGATTGAGAACGCCTGTCGTCAAGCACATATTCATGATTTTATAGTTGGCTTACCTGATGGTTATGAAACTTCTGTTGGAGGAAAAGGAAAACAACTTTCAGGTGGTCAAAAACAACGAATTGCTATTGCAAGAGCTCTTATTCGAAATCCCAAAATTTTATTACTAGATGAAGCAACATCAGCTTTAGATTCACAAGCAGAAAAGATTGTACAAGAAGCATTGGATGCTGCTGCAAAGGGTAGAACAAGTAAGTATTGCCTAATTTAATATCCTTACTTTGTTAAATAATTTTTAAATAACATAAAAATTTTTTTTTTTACCAAAAAAATAGCTTTGGCTATAGCACATAGATTGTCAACAATTCAACATGCAGATGTTATATTTGTGATCAAGGATGGTAAAGTACACGAACAAGGCACACATCAAGAACTATTAGCACAAAAAGGAATATACTATACTATGGTACAGGAACAAGATTTGGGAGATATACACGAATAATATATATATATTGGTCGAATCAGATAATAACTCATTTTTAATATAATTTTTTAAACCTTCTTTTCTTGACGATTCCTTTTTAATATAATTTTCTTGTAAATTTTATATCTTTTTCGATGTGAAATAATTCTTAGCTACGTACTACATAATAATTTATTATTACTAGTGTGTTTATTTTACAAACAATATGGATTGATTTGAGATATAAGTTGTAAGGTATCAGATATTATATATATACTAAAAAAAAAAAAACCAACAAATAATTCATCTTTTATATAAGCAACCCTGAAAAACATTTGGAAGTTTTAAAATTATTTGTAATAAAGCTTATTAAAAATGAATAAGTTGGATTGTTTTAAATATACACTGATATAATAGGTTTTTAGAAGCAAAATCTAATTTCAAATTTACCAATTCGAGATATCACTCGAATTTAGCTATATGAATAGGATGGAAGAATAATCGGATTAAATATAGTATAGGTTACCCGGATGTTTCTGCATTTCTGGAAGGTTTACCGGGTCAAATATAGTATTGTTGACCCTTTGTTTATGCGTTTCTGGAAACTTTGCCGAGAGGTTGCCTATACTATATTTAATCCGATTATTCTTCCATCCTATTCATATAGCTAAATTCGAGTGATATCTCGAATTGG